ATCATACGAGAACGTATTTCTTGCGTACCGGTGTCAGACAACAATTTTGTTCTCCCAACTTTTCTGCCTCAGATATAGCAAACATGATGCGATGCAGCACAACTGTAGTCCCCAACGGTATCTTTTAGAAGAGTGGCAATTTCATGTCAAGTCACTGCTAGTATTGAGTGGAAAATATGTCTTACATGTCACTAATCCCTTCCCACAAGCCAGACCACTATCGACAAGGCTATAAATATTTAATACGATTGGTCCATTTGCATACAACTGCCGCACCCCCATTCCTGCAAGATTCCCAAGACGTTAGAGAGAGTAAGTAAAAACTAGTTGTGCGAGGGCGCTCTTCAACAGAAATAACACAACTATTGATCACTGACGTCTTGGGCAAAGACTAAGGCCAAGATGGCAGGACCACGGCCGAATATAAAAACCTGGACTTGCAACGCTTTTATATGAAATAGAAGCCAACCAGCGGCCATTTTACCGAATCGAATACAAATACGCGGTTGGGTCGCTTCTATCGACGCCAGGGAGAACACAGGCGGGCATTGCCAGGAAAGCTTTGTATTTGGCTCGGTAAAATGGCCGCAAGTGGATTCAATCATCTCTATAAGCTGATTAAGGGTAATGCGAGTCAAGATTTTACTATACAAATCCGTGGGCAGAAACCGATAGCAGACTCGATCGAGCTTGTCGCGCGCGCCGATTTCTCATGCGCCCTCTCGTGATCCCATTTCACCAATCAACGGCTCGTTCTACCGTCTTATCTTGGGAATCTCCTACAAGCGAGAGGTGGCCTATCAATGCAAATTAGTAGTTTAATATGGATATTCACTATTGACCCTAGGATGCAAAATAGGATGCAAAACAGACCACGAGAGCGTTGAAGCGGGTTTGCCTTAATAACATCAGCTTGTTATTTCTTTGGTTGTGTTGTCGCAAGTCTTTTACAGGCTTACTTCGCTTCTTTTTCAAATGCATCAACCGCGGCCGTTATCAACGGTAACAGTTCTAGTACGTCCCGTAGAAGCGATTATATCTGTCACGTATGATATAAGAAACTGATCCATATTCGTCACATACAGCTTCAACTGGAATTTCCCGGGCGCTGATTGGTTTCTCCTGAAATCTGGAGGAAAAGTAAAGAAAAAAAAAAAACACTTTGTAGGAGATTCCCAAGACGGTAGATCGAGCCGTCGATTAGGGAAATGAAGTCGCGAGAGGGCGCAATGGAAATCAGCGCTCGGTGCATATTTTATGCTCGATCTAGTCCACTGTCAAAATCTGCCGTCTTGGCCTAAGACTAGGCAGTAACCACCTGTCATTTGAGAAACGTTTTGCACCAGCTGACTACAGCTGTACTCAGCTGACGACATAATCAACCGTCTCCATTAAAAAATCCAGGTTTTTTTTTTCTAAAATAATAATGTACTCAGTCAGGATCTCATATTACATGTATAACCCTTTTGTCTGTTGTTGGTTGTTTTCAACTCTGTACTTGACCAAGTCCAAGACGGAGATTTTGGATATAATGTGATAGGACTCGTTGCTGCACTCTCGAAACAAACAGCCACCACCGATGTCATCCTAAACCTCCTAGCCTTTCTGCTGGTGGTGGAACCAAAGTTGGTGGAACAAAAGGGTCAATATTTCATGTAAGCCAATTTTTTTTCCAGAAGATCGGTGGGGATGCCAGAAACCTTAACCACAAAATATTGCTTGCCTACCTCGGCATGTAACACAGTGGTCGTCCTTAGATTCGGGGTCACAAGAAAAACAGGATATGCACATCTGTAAAGCCTTTTCGTAGACCGTCGTTTTGTCGTTGTCCTGGCAAATTTTGTTCATATCCAGACTAGCTGCAAAAGTGCAAAAAACCCTCCAAATTATTTCACTATTTATAACATTGACCCAGTTAGTTTGTGCCAAAAAGGAAAACACAGACAAGCTGCAAACCTAACGCAAATGTTCATTAAAGTAATATCACAAGTATCTAGTTATGCACTTGCATTTATAAGGAGGCATGTCATCAGTCGAGTAAAAGTCTCATGGAAATACTTTCAGGCAAGACGTGTTATCTTCAAAAAAATGGCTGATCCTCCCATACACCCTTGCACATTTTAATGTAGACTCGAATGAATGATAAAAGTTACCCTGATCTATAGAAGTGCCTGGTGCCGGGGTTGGGGTTGTCGAGTCCATGGAGGGTTTGTGTGTAACCTGTAGTGGTACTCCACGGACGAGCGTAAACCCAGACATTGCCAAAGCACAGGTTACTGCGAGTGAAGCGCATGGATGGAATCTGTTAAACATTCTGGTTCTCTGATTTAACACTTCATAAAGAAGTTAGTGTTCTACAGCAAACATTTCGCTGGAGGTGGTCATGATCCCGCTTACCTGTTCCCCTTGTTCGGACCCACCAAAGGAATTTATTTATAAGTTAGAAGTCATATTCAATCTGTCTGAATATGTTTTTTTCTGACTGGATTGACTTTTTTCAAAGTTTCTCACCACTTAATATATCCCAATGAAGTAAAAAAAAACTGTTAGCATTTTGATGACGTCATCATTTTGAAAAGTCCATAATTACCGAGCAAACGAGTTGAGGGTCAAAATACCAACTGCAATGTGCAGACCTTCGTCCCAGCGAAAACATTTTAAAGGAGAAAATATGCAGTGAGAATAAATAAAATACAAAGCGAACTGTACAAAAGAGACCCCCTCCCCAAAAAGTGGATAAAAATTTACCCCCCCCCCAAAAAAAAAACCCATTCCAAAAAAATCCGAAACAGATAATCATCTTCCGAATTATCGGTTATTCGTACCTTTCCAGAACATAACCATGTTGGAAGGGCGCTACGTTGGTTTCTGCCTGATTATGAGAAGAATTGATGAGGTAGAGACGGCTTCTGTTAAGTTGTAGGCACGCTTGCATTAATGCATACTGTTGAACTCCTACTAGAGATCTACGAAATGAATATCACGGGAAAGTATAGTGAACGTCAGAAAACAGTCCCCTGTTATTGCGTAATACACATGCATTTCGCAATCGCCTCGGGCCCTCCCCGGCCTAGGGAAACCATGTTTCACTGTTACCAGCGTTTAGGGTTGATTCAAAGAGCTTCCAATGGCTGGTGTAGTACATGAACAATCAAGTGTAACAAAAAAGTACATTCTTTGCAAGGGGCAGTGCACGAGCTGGTCTTTTTTTAAAGCTCAAGTCAGTCCACAGACAGCGCTATATTTACTAACCACAGGGAGGTCTTGGAACCAAGACGAGGGCAGCTGGGATGTTAATTCACGTTTCAGGATTTGAACGGGAACTGATTGTGCTGGGGGAGGAAAGAAACGGCTCCCTAATTAATGCTACTGTGAAGACAAAAATCACTGGAAAAGCACCACCAAATATAAAGTTTAGAAAAGAGACAACCTTCTTTTTTTCAGCTGAGCACACCATTTAATTCTAACTATTATGGAAGCGTAAATCTGAAAATTACAATTTGAGTAGATAACTAGAGTGCTTTTTTTCTTTCAGTTTGTTAGCGAGGGTTGGTTGAAAACTTAAGAAGGCAAGGATAAGAAAAGATCTGCCCGTTATTTCCATACAGTCTCCAACAGTAAAACGTGAACACAAATTCTCAGGAGGAAGGAAGTCATATGAAAATGTCTAGATTTTGAATCTTGTAGTCTCAAGTCATCTCTTGTCAATTGCAAGTCAATTTTAAGTCTCGACTAAAGTCACAAGATAATCCGAAGAACTATGACCAAGGCTCTCTCTTTAGGTATTGGCTTGTGAGCGACTACATTATTACAACTCTTGAAACTCTGACACAGTTTATATCTTTGAATGATCCCCCCGCATATTGCTTTTAGAGTGATTCTCTAGATTCAGCCATGTTTGGGTTTTTTTCAGTCTAACATATAGATACAATAATGAAACATAAAAAACATCCAAAAGTGTCAGAGCATAAATGGATAAATTGCGAAACAGGTATTCGGTGTGTAATAATTGGAAAGGCAGTGTTAAAAGTTGGGGATTTCAGTGGTTAGTCAAAACATTTTTGATTTTATTTTGTTCTTAAATCTGCTTTGGAACTGTATCTGCTCTAATTGCTACGTTTGGTTCAGACTAAATTAGAAACAAATACTTGCAGACTTATAAGCAGCAACAACTCTCATGGCATGCTCAGCAGTATTTTATCATCTACACAATTAACTGTTTACCTACATTATCTTACCTAAAAATGAAGGTTAAGTAAACAAAATGCATGGAATTATCTTAATTTCTCGTACAATATATGAACAGTGGTCGCTTTTTATAGTTTAATTGAAATTTTGTATTTTGGAATTGCCTCAAGGCGGCCGGTTTCAAGAACAGCCGAAAAAAAGGTGAAAGCCATCGCATAGGGAGGAGGGAAAGACATTTCATGCTTTTCTTTACTTTACCTTCTCAAAACATCTAGCAAAACAAATTGTTATTTTGTATATACAGCATTTTAACTAAAGGCCATTAAAAGTAATGTACTGTCTCCTTCCTAGATGAGAAATCAAAACTGCAAATTGATATTCCACATAATTCTGTATTTCGTCTTTGATACACAGGGATTGTTTTTTCAAAAAGTTGCACAGCGAAATTGTTTTTTTTCCATTCAGGGTCGAGCTAAACATTGACATTTCAGACACACAAATGGGAAATATTTGAAGATCTTTATGTCTTGATCTTACTGGAGCTTTTTCTGTACATAACGTCACAGTCGTGTTTTTCCTACGAGTGCCAGATAAAATTATAATTGGCCGTCGGTATAAAAGGTGGAGAGTTAAAAATCCATTACAGCTACCAGAACACTATGTAATACACGCGCTACTAAATACTAAATGAAAATACAATCCATTTAGAACGAATTAGACACAAAATCGAAAGCCAACCAAAAGGGGATATTCTTGAAAACGTTTGCCGCCAATTCAAGCTGTAGGCAAAATGGGAGTAGTGTATGTACCAACTGGATCGAAACGTCTGACCCTCTAACTTTTCAAGCATTTACACGTCTCAGTATTCCTTTTGGCAAAATGTACGGCAGCTTATTAATATTTTTAATGATATTTTAAACACAGAGCTATAATACGAAGAACTATATCGATAATTGCATTAGTAAATCCAAATTGTCAAAATCTAAGCTACTGTACAATCTGTACACGGTATCGTTTTTTCGTACACTTGCTCCCAGCCTCTCGGGGCTGGGAGCAGGCACAAGTATGTCGACTTCAAACATCAGTAAGCATTATGTAGGTTGACCCAATATGCTTAGTGTTTAAACGTACGTGGTAAAATCGATTTCATTTATTCTTTCCTTTTTTCTCCGCCTATTTTCTCATTTCCATGTCCCGTTTCCATTTCAAGTTATGTCCTATTTGTTTAAAAAATGCCTTGATTTTCTTCTTCTTATAGTGGTGTTATGTTTTCGTCGCTAAGTTTCCATCAGTTGTTGATTGAATAAGAAAAATTATCGACACTTATTTTCAACAAATTTATTCCCCACATGAATTCTTATTTTATATAATTCACTCAAACAATTTGCTGGAATAAAAAACTGACTGCATTTTTTCAAAATAATTTTGGAACCTTTTTTGGAATTGGAATTTGGTGTGAAATTGCTTTTGCCGTGATTATTATCCATGAAATGTCATTTCATTTGTCATTGCTTCCCCTTAAACCATCAACACCAACGAGACAGTTCGATATTTTGATGTGGTAAGGTTATTCGAGAAAAATGATCAGTGCTCTTGATTGATCTACGACATGCTGACATTTTGAGCATGCAACGCCGTACCGAATTGGTTTCTGTGACGCCTTACACGCAAGTTTCCTGCAGCGCAGTGCTAGTCAAGCTGTCGGGATTCAATGGATGATACTCATCGGCTGGCAGGGTCTCTTGTGCCACCACTCCTGGTTGTTCCTGCGACCCCTGCAAACATGTTTCTATTTCTCCCTGTCGCAGAGAGGTGGCGGGTATTTGTCCCTGTCCTGCTCATTCAAATGAGAAAAATCATACCAAAATCCAGCTATGGCCACTTGATTGCAGAAACAAAAGGAGAAGTGAAAACAGATACTTAGCAACTAATTTGGCTTTCATTTATAGGTCATTTGTTTTATCGCAATTCATTACATGAGAAATTGCCCAAGTATGCATTGGACGACGATAGGCTAATAGATTTTCGAACCTCATCTATATTAACGCTTCTATATGATATAGGTTTTAAGAGGAAAAGCCTCCAGGGTTCCTCCCAAACTGGCTGTCTGCATATAGAAGAAATACACAATTTTGTGACCGAGGATACTGGTAAGTAGGATGGATAATATTCGTTGTACAAACGAAACAACTTACGCCGTTTGTTCCTTCTAATCTTGAAGAATTTGAATGCGATGACGAACAGGCCTATGACGGCGGCCACAGTGACAATGGTGGAAACGATCCCAGGGAAGATGCCAAACTCTTGGACAAGAAAACAGTTTAGGAAATGTGTTCCTTCTTTGAATGCATGGAAATCTTCTCATTGCAATGAAATTCAAATTGATAATTTGTCAAACATTTCTACACTGTACAAAACATCTACTGTTGCACATTTAGAAGCGACGCCTCCACGTAGAGCTGGTCAAATTGCTAGTGTCTAGGCAACAGTATACCCAAAATGTTTAACTTCCACTTTACATAACAGCTTAGAGGCCTATCTCATCGCCAGATCGTTGAAATGATTTTTAAAAAATAAGCCAATATGCACCCTAAAAAGAAGAGCGAAATAATTTCCCTGATCAACAAAAGTACCTTGTAGTTTGTATCATCAACCCGTAAACAGGTCATAAAATCTAGATCTGAGACCAAATTGCAGTTCAGAACTCGTATAAAAAACAACACGCAGTGAGGAATCAAATCACGCTGTGAATTTTTACATCCATATCTGCAAAGCAATGGGCCTTTTCGAATGGGAGTAAGAACTCTAAAAAGAACCATTTCATTTTTATCATGCCACGGCAAGGGGACAGAATCTTCCCAACTTCAACTATCACATGCCCCCTCCTTTTTCCTTTTTTTTTGTTTTTTAAAATAACTTGGTAAACAGAGAGAGCCATTTATTACAGCATATTCAATTCACGGTGTGATCTGATGCTTTAGTCATGGCCATTGTAGTTCACGCCCTCTTGGGCCAGACGTGCATTGAGCACAGCAGGAAAAGTGTTGAGTTGGCTGCCCTGTCTCCGGAAATTGGGCATCTTGAACGATATGTCCGATTTTCAGAGAATTTCGGGCAAAATATAATGGAAACATTAAAACTAAATGTCTGGTTCGGCACACAAAATGCACTGCTACACGAAATTTCATAAAAAGTCGAGGGGGGCCGGGATCGAGCCCACCAGTTCGGAAATGGAAACTTAACGTGCACTTCCAAAGTCTGGTTCCCTGACCAAAGATTCCCTGACGACTCTTGATAGGTCTGGTATCACCCACCAATACAAAAAGATCATGACGTGACATTTCCAGGGTCACAAGGAAAGCCCTGGGTGGATCACATGCTTAGATAATGCAAGAAACTAAAAAAATGCGTGGGAAGGGAGCAGCATTGAGTCATGCCTAGGCAACAAGCAAAAGGAAAAATGAGTGTATTTCTTATTATGCGTACAGTATAGATACGGCCCAAAATACCCGACCAACAACGATGCTATCCGAATGTTGAAGGGACGAGTTCGAAATATGTCAGCTGTTTTCAAAACTACAGGAATTCCTCCGGTTTGTGTCATGTGAACATTGGGTGATGGCAGACCAGCCGTTTTCCAATACTCGGCTTCGTCTCGTCTCAGGTTCGTCTCCAAAATTGATCCGAATTATTGTAGACGCGAAGTGTGTAAATCAAATTGAAGTTCAAGAATATTTTGCTTTTTCGCATCTTATTTTGATGTTCCTTGGACTTATAATTGAGCTAACGACTTCAAAGTAAGGCGGTAAAAACAGAAGACCATGATTCGAATAGAATAGTCGGAGTAATCGGGTCTGGTAACAAGACTACACTCCCCCACAAGCAACACTTAACAGCAAACAAAGCAAAAGAAAAACCAAAAAGCCATTCAACGTCCCGTCTCTCCTCCCCCTCCCAATTCACACGGCCCAACCCATGATCCAATAAGCTGCAGTTGCGAGTTACATTGGAATAAATCTGGTACACTGAGTTCTTTAAAATTTACGTGCATATAGCATAAGAGATGCCTTGCACCAATATACGGTTGACAATGGATAAGAAGAGCACAACTTAGGAACCAGTCCATTCCAGAGATGGTGGTCGCTATGCAAAACCTTGCTCTGAATCACGAGGTATAGCAACAGCTGTCTTTAATCTGAGAATTTAAAGTGGCATGTATGTGTGCAGTTAGATAACTCATTGTACCAAATTTCATTCAAATTTAACTCGCAAAAGGCTTATTTTCAGTTTACCAGACTTTGAGGCATTTTCTCGAGATAACGTGGGTGTCGACCGTCCATCTTCGGTAGAGGTCTCGGTCTGCCTCTGATCAGTTCCTGTGACGAGGATGCCAAACTCACTCTTAGTCGGGCCTTGGCTAGATGCGACAGGCTGACGGGTTGTGGGGTAAGGTGTCACGGTCGTTGCGATTTCTGTATACATGCAGTGGAGAAGGAAAATTACAGTTTCGGTATAAAATGTCAGTAAATCATGATGTGTGAAAGAATCCTCCAGTAGCCTTTCTTTTCAAACTAAACCAGACAGAAAAGTATACAAATAAATGAAACAAGTCCAGGTTCCCTTTCAAAATCTACTCTTCCCCTTTAAGCCAAATCTCCGAGGAGACTACACTGTAAGCCTAGCCCAGCGCCTGCACATGAACCCCGTTGTAAACACGATCTGTTAATATTAAAATGATCAGTAAATCTGACCTACGAGTCACACCCTGTGAGGTGAGTGCGGGGAATTTCCCTGGGAATATGCAATAACAAGTGCCAGTTATCTAAAGCTAGCTAGCCCCACTTAAATTTGCAGGGGATGGTGGTGTTGTAGTGAAGTGTTGTTAGGGAACAAGTGTGTTTATTTGATCGTTCTGAGACTGACAGAAGCAATAATCATTGCATAAATTATCTCGAACATGAAGCTTAATTTATGAAGCCAGCAAGCACAGCCTTTCACAAACATTGCAATGGGCAGAGATTTAACCATTTCAAGAGGCGTGGGCACTCTCTTGCAGTGTGACAAGTATGCATTCGTGGTAATGCACAATAAAATGTATAACCACCTGTACTGATTGGGGTGGTGGTCAAGGTATGGAAGATTTGCAAGAGCCACTTGCAAAATATTTTTTCTTGTTACTATCTCGCCGCGGCGACTCCCCGACGCGAGATAGTATTTTATACGCCTTATATACGCCTTCATATTCGCTATTAAGTCGCTACATCGTGGGAATATGTACAGTAAAGTGGCGTAAACTTGTGCCGGAAATTCGGAGGTATGGTGTGAGTTTGTTTCTGCATTCAATTGGGGA